AGCTACGAAGTAAGTCCAAGTTTCATGCCTTCACTGAAGGTTAAATGTAAAGATATATTCAAGGTGAATTGTACTCATCCGTCTAGAATAAAGATTAATAATATCTGTAATTTTACAGTTCGGACCGGAATATCGCCCCAAGGTGACCCGCATACCTTCACGGACTTTAAAAAGTACTTCGGGTGAATTGTACTCATCCTCTAAAATAAGATTTAATTCTTATATGTTGGGTTCGGACCGGAAATCCTCCCATGGGCGGGTTCCGAGGGAGGGATATTCCGACCCAAAACCGAAAACATATGTAGTTTTTTTTTCTTGAAATTTCTACAAACCCCTTTAAAATTTTTAATTTTTCTTTATCTTTATTTCAAGGGAAAATTTTTATATCTTTACGGTAAATTTTCTTACCACAGCATGAAATTCAAACTTCATTAAATTTTAAAAAGGACTCATCCAAAGCGTCCATTTACAGCACGCGACTCATCTGCACCCCCCATGCCGGCTGGGTAAAACACACGGAAAACGCCATTGCTATCAAGAAAACATAAAAGACAAAACAAGCACTGTTTCTTAATTGAGAGCTATTATAATAAAATAACAAAATATATAGTAAATTAATGGTTCGTTTTTACGCATTTTTAAAGTATTGTTTGAATGCAATACAGCGAAAATTAAGGCGATACATAAGTTCTGATAACATAACATATATACTAGGAATAGCGTTCGTCAAAGTTAATGAAAGGGAATAAAACATAAAGAATAAAATTAAACACAATTATAATAGAAACTGATACAAATGCATAATACAACAGTACAGAAATTAAACGATGCAAATATAGTATTATTTCGAGTAAATGAATAAAAATGAAAAAGAAATCTTACCACAGCGTCTCAATTCATTATGAAAATAACTTAATGATAAGTTATATTTCTTAATTAAGATTTTGTCCATAAAACATAACGAGTTCCATTTAACTACAAAATATATCAAGCTACACTCGTGTGGGAAGGAGAATAAAGACTAATTTAAGTAGTCGGAAAAGGGAAGGAAGGAGATATCAAAAGTCAATACAATACCACTAGACACACAATAAACAGTTCACAGACTTATGATTGAATTGCCGCTAAAAAGCGTACGTTACAATACATGTACAATACAATGTAACACGATAACAGACGACAAGATAAAAAAAATCAAAGCACAGAAGGCGCTGAATTTGTTTTTGGTTTCAGAATGTCACAAAGGTGAAGGTTGTGTGATTATAAACCAATTTGTTTTTGTATAGTGCCACCATTGCTTTCCAGTGTTTTAACTGTAGTAAATTGGCTAAAAGACTAATTGCAACACTGATATTCAATTCAATGTTTATTTGACTTAAACAATTTAAAAAAAGAATGAGTTGACCTTAACTGAGATTTGAACTCCAGACCTCTCGACTACTATGCGAGCGTGCAAACCCCTCGACCACGGTGTAGTTATATGTAAACGGCCTGAAGAAAACCATATTATTCTAAATTACTGTTAGTAATTCTTATTATTTTCGACGCTAAACATGTTGTTTAACACAGATGTAAATACTCATGGAGCTAAGCATGTATATCTATAAAGAATAAAACAATATTAGAAATCTTCGACCAATCGGGAACTATGTTGCTTGAAAATAAATGCGCCTGTCATTTGACAATCTTTACGCAGTGATCTCCCCTGAATTTTTTCGGCGTGTTGTTTGCATATAAAGGGAAGTAACCGCTTCAAAAAAGCGGACTACTTTCGGCATTTGCAATTAACAGCATCAAGGTCTGAAATTTCAATGTACAAATCAGATAGCCTTTTTCTATTGAATATCCCGACAGACCGTGTGGAAAACTGGAGTGCGGGTAACTAACAAGGGAAAGGTCCCCAAACTATGATACAAATAAAGCACGCTCGTTGATTGGCAACATTTTTTCTGCGGTTTACTTATTGTGACGAAAGGGAAAGAGATAACGATAGAAAGTCAAATACAGATGTTCGTAGACTGATTACTTTTTTTTCTTGAGTTTCATATTGTGACTACAAGGAAAAATGTTTTCATTTTTGCCTATGATACAAAGGAGAAAAAAACACCAAACCACGCCCCTCATACAAAATCAGATATGCTCTTTCTATTACTTATACACAGACACGCAAAAAACAAATTTACTCAACTGCTTGAATATACAAAAAAGTCTTACATTCGAAAACCGTTACAAATTATTATAAAAGCGCATGCAATTGTCGAAAGAACGCACTAAACCATTTAAAATGCACTTAAATTCATACAATAGTAAATGTTTATTAAACGGATATTTTTTTTAATTTAAAGGAAAGAAAGTTGAAATTTGATTCGAGTCCAATGTAATAATATTTGAATCTTATATTTTGCCAAGTCTTTCAAATAGAAAGACCCTGGTTTAACGTATGAGTGTCCCATTAGCCCCATGTATAAGGAAATGTTTTTGTATGTAACTATGAACTATAAATGTTCGAGACAGACAAATAACTTTCTGTTCTGTTCCGGATTCATAACATTACTAAACAATAACATCATTTTTTATCTTTTAACAAGCTTTTTACTAACACAGTTGAATAACTTAAATACAGTGCACGTTCCAGATTAATAAACATTACTGTGAGTGGTTCTGTAATTACCCGAAACGAACATCAGCATATATTTCTGTTGTTAAATGGTTATAGTATGCTTTACAAAACACTTTTCACGACCGATAAACAAAATTACAAGGGGCTACCTTAACTTTTGCCGATAATGAAAGAAGCAAACACAGCAAATTTTTTTTGTCTAATCATCATATTCATACAGCTTTAGTTTTAAAATAAATTAATTATATGTTCTAGTGTATAATCCAACTCTTTAATAGTAACCGAACATATATCATATGTGAATATCATTGATCAAATAATGAGTATGGATCCATGAATAATATGCCAGGGAGATTTCAGTACGTTGTGAAAGGCACGCTGCCGGCGGGATGATCGCCGTTCCCACATAGTTCAAAAACCGCCGTTTACGCATTAGCCAATGACGACTGATATTTTGAAAAAGGATCTTTCGAATACTTCTTTTTCAGCAATATATACTGTATACATGTATAATGTTTAAGAATAACTCAATATTGATGATTGCAAACTTAGGTAACTAACAAACGGTCTTATATTAGGACGTTCCTTTACTTTCATCGCCTTTGGACCTTGTTCGTGCATCACTCTCGCGGTTGTGTTTCTCGAAGAAAAAAAAAACAGATGCTGTTTATAGCTTGAACTCCAGTTCTTCTCAGAACTTTACACAGTTATATATACTCTCAGATTAGTAGACTTTTCTTGTTGGTGCGTTATCATTGACGTATATTAAGTGACTGTTTTAAATCAATGGTTTTAAATATTTTAATGTTGAAAGCCAAATGACCTTAGTGACCAACTTGATCTGTTATTCAATGACAACGCTGTATTTCTGTTCGTTAATTTTCATAGAAGAACAAAAGTCGATACTATATCGAATTCCGTTTATACTCGACTTCTATTTTTCATAGTACTTCATAGAACGACACAGTGACGTTATAACGTGAGTGATTATGAGGCCAAATAAAGTTTGACACTAAATACATTAGTATTCATCCGTGCTATTCTACAGAATTTAGAAACATTATTCTGTTGCTATCGCTCCCGTCGAAGTTTCTATTTTCTGTAGAACAGCAGGAATGAACACTAATTAACTTAGAATGGCATGGCATTTCCCCCATGAGCATATTGTGAAAAATGACCGTTTTCACTGAAAAGTCTCCTGTTACAAGTTCAAACTGCTATAAAACTATGAAAAATGCTTCAATACTAATCAAACTTGGCATAAATGTTGACTGGACCATTTCCTTTGCAACGACATGCTCAGTCTTAAATTTCCTGTTACCATGGCAACGAGGGGACATCTCAAAATTGCCAAAAATCAACATTTCTCAAACGAAAACATGTGTTTGGGGCCCAAATAGGACATTTTTTCACTATTTGAGGCCTAAAAAAAGGGGGGGGGGTCGAAAGTGCGTTGTTTCGCGTATATATGAGGTAAAGGGTTATAAATTGCATTGATTAACCGTTATGTTCAGTTTGAAATATAATTCTACATCAGTATATTAAATGTGCAAGAATGCATTAATGGACTCAAAAACTGGATATATTACTCGGAGTAACTACAAGGATGTACTTCCACACAGCGATATGAGTTAATGACTTGAATGTTTCTAATGGAAGATGTAAAATATATAGTTAAGAAGAGAAAGCAAACACTAATATCTTCGTTATCAAATGATTATAATGTATTTTAATGTAAGCGTTATCAAGTTAAACAGGTGATTTACACATACACAACAAATTATACAAATTTCGTGAACCAAAGTCAAAGTAGAAACATTGTGTATTTTCCTTTGTGCTTTCATGTTTATTGAGAAACGACAGAGTATAAGATTTATTGTTCGGTCCATGTCACAACATTTTCACGAGCTTAATGTCCATATTTGTGCAATGGCGTTCAAAAGCATACGTTAATGTCAAAACAAGTTTGTTTTGTTTTATTTAGTTCTTTGTTTTTGGTCACGCGATAACAAAATCTAACGTTTGTGTATCATATATCCATGGCATAAGTTGCTGATGGGACATACGAACAATGTAGTTTTCAAAACATATGCATAATCATTGGGTATGTCCCGGATCATATTTGACTCCTGCAATCTGTATCTTTCCATTCGCTCAGTCTACATCTTATAGAAAAACAACCAAACAAAAAACATGCGGCTAACAAGTTAACTCTCCAAGTGATGTTTGAAAAGTGAAGAAATTAGCAAGTTAAAATATTTCAGTAGTCTGCTTTATCAACTTGCTGACTGTAATTGTTTTGTCTGAAGAATGGTCCATTGAAATGAACCCTTTTTATTGTCCTGATTATATTCTGCAGTTTACAACAAAGTCATTAAATTTGAATTGTTCATTTTTTGTGCGCTCCGTAAATTGCATGTATTTCATTTGAGTAGTTATTAGTCAGAAGCGTACAACTTGTTGTGGATTTAGCAGAAAAAGTGTCTTAAAGACACATTATGCCTCAGAAATTCCTATTTATCAAATTCTTTAAATATGTCAAATATGTGTTGAATAATGTTTCAATAACAGATTTAGAGTATGTCAGATGTTAAACAGCTATAGAAAGTAGCGCTGAATGTGCATGAGGTAAAGGTAACAAAATGTAAACTAAGAAGTAGTTTGACTTCCATACAAAATACTAATTCACTTAAATTATATAAATTGGAAACAAAGCAAAAGGAGGGAAGATAGTTTATCTATACGGCAAATGAGCATGTTTTGGAATCTGTAACAAAATACCAAAAATAGAAAAAAAAATTGAAATAAATATAATAAAATTTCTTTGCACAATGGACCTTTAAAATAAAAAAAATGAGAATTTATGTGTTGATGAAGAAGAATATTATATTTTGTTTCTCGCGGACAAATAATATTTCAAATGATCAACTTGATCTAAATATAGGACGGAAGTCGAGCCAAATACGAAATGCACGTTATACCTGATAGAAATATTATAATTGTACCTCTAATCATAAGCATCATTATTATTATTATTGTTCTTTGTAACTGTAATAAATTTCAAGTAGGCATATACAATTTTATATGCGTTAGTTAACACTAAATATGTAAAGAGGCTTTCAACTTTTCTAAAGGTTGAATATGTTATTTTTAGAAAACTCGTTCATACAATTGTCAAATCAGAAGATTTCAGGTGGAAAATAAAATTCGTTTTCCATAAAATATAATATTATAAACAATTAGTAAACCTCTTATCTATCGGCCTGCTCTCTACATGTAATTAAGTAAAGGGCACGATTTTTTTTTAGAAACGAACATCACTGACGGACGCTATACCGAAGAAGGCTTAACAGTGAAACTATGCACTAAGCAAGATAAAATGTTTGAAATACTTTGTTTGAAACAACACAAAATTGTTTTTCCAACAAAAAAATAAAAATATACGAAGATGCTTAATATAGAATGTAAAATTGTCGGACAAAACTAACATGTACATGTCTATAATTTCACGCAATATTCTGTCATTCAGAAAAAGAATATATTGTTCAACACTTTTTTTCAGTAGCATACAAATGTCGTGATCCCTGTCGTTGCTAAAGCACAGTGCAAACTTTTGAGTGTCTGAAATAAACATTATATTTTCAAATTATTTATGAACACGCTTACTCGCTTTCGGAAACTATCTTTCAGCATAAATGCTAATTAATTGATAATTGCTCTTTTGACGAAACTCAGTTTTGGCGTGCTGTCAAATTAAAAGTAAAATATTAATATAAGAGTAAACATATCTGGAGAAAGGGTGATCCTCGGATGCATTCATCACAACAAAATAACACGAAAATTGCAAACTCGGTTTGAGTATGTACATAGGGATTATTAATATGTGCAACATTTCTTAAATTAACCATTAAATATTAAAAAGTGCTTGAATAAATACGTGCTCTGAATTTAACATGGTTTTAGGACAAAGTCTATTCATCTTCAAATATAAAAATAAACAGAATTTCTTACATTTTCTTCTCCTCTAAATCCATCCTCCGCATATTCTCTTCGTGTTCCATTTTCCCTCGTAGTTTTTCGAGTGCGAACTCTGCACTGTAATGAAAAATATTTTAAAAATCAAATCTTATGTCAAAATTTAGTGCTGATTCATATAAAGTTGGTGACATTAAAATAACATAAAAAGTGAAGGGATGAACCTTAGTTGTGTGAATACATTAACTTGCCAATAAGTATTGTGAAGCAGGTAAAATGGCAAAATTTACTATTTTGGTTGATAAACGAACGCAAATAAGTCAAACTTTATTGCAACAAGAAAATAAAATTTAGTATAGATAATCAACTAGTTCTAAATGTGCCAAAACCAGTTTTAATATTCTTCAACGTTGCCAATCTTACTTATGTAAATAATGTATTGTATATAATTTACTCCCTACCTATAACATTTTTTACTCATTTAAAGTTTCTGATGTAAATTATTTTTATTTATATTGTAATGTTTTTATGTTTGATAGCTCTACGTTTTTTACCGACTTTTTATTTTTAAGTCAGTTGAAAATAAAAAATGCTACTAAAACTTGATTTTTACTATGTAAAAAGCTATATTTTTTTTCATTTATTTAGATTTTATTCTGTCCTTACTATGCAGGTAGCTTTTATTTATAACTTGATGTATTTTTTAATAAGACTAATATTGTGTGTTAAAATAACCTTTTATTGGTAGTCTATTTGTTGTATTAATATGTATGCTTATGAATTTTAAACTTTGTATGACCATGAATTAGACTAAGAGATAAAAACAAAACTGGTGAATGGCTTAATACATAGATCAATAGTAGAAACTTGTAGATGGTAAAATATGGAAGCAATTCCTTCTAATGAGAATGTAATATTTGCTCTAAATAAGAAGGTAAATTTCATGTTTTATTAGAATATCCCATGAAAGATGTTTTGAGAAAATAACTAACAAAGAAATATTTTTAAAAAGACCAAATTTTCCTGCACTAATTTTAATTGTTGACATCAAAAAACGAAAATGTAACAAGAAAATAATCTAAGTTTATTTTAAATGTATTCATTAAGAACAAATCATTGGCTTAATTCTACAAACCCTTATGCTATTGTTTTGAAATTTTTAGAAAATCGCATTTGAAATTTTGAACTGCACAACCTTTTAATGATAAACTGCATAAAGATGAAAATTTCTGTGTATTTAAAAATCTGTATGATATACATATCTACTAAATTTTAAAGCTAAAATCTCAAATAATTTCTTCAACAGCATCAATACGACTATCAAATGGTATTTACTTCAATTTTTTTAAAAGTATTCACTGAAGTTCATTTGTACTGATATGTTATATACTCGTATACATGTCTATGCTATAGTTGTATCTTATATTAATTAGCTGAAATCTAAATTACAAACCGTTAGTTTTGCTTTAATATTTAGAGTGAATCTTTTTCAAGTTGTACAATGTAAATTGAAATCTAACACTATCGAGGACAAATACTTGTTAATGTACTAAAACATAATATACTAGTATTACATATGTAATAGTCTTCAATGCATTAACGTAAAAGTTAACAATGATTTCAAGCTTTTTATTTTGTTTTTGTTTCATTTTACTGAACATGTGTACAAAAATTAAAAGAGAAACAAAACATTTTAACTGCTTAATACGCCTTCGGTTCCCTTTCTTTTACTTGATAAAACTTCTACTTTAATTTTAAGAATATATCAATAAATCGATAAGTCGAGTATGATTTCCAAATAAATGTGGTATATATAAAATATTTGGCTGTGATAGTATTAGCAACCATTACAGATTTGCCGTGTATCAAGTGGTACAAAATCAGATGGTTTTGATAAGAATTTATTGGAGTCTAGAATTAAAGTTTGGTGTCAATAAATGAGTTATGGGTTTGTGGAAAAGTAAATAAAACTATTTAGGTTAGTTCTACAAAAAGTTAAGTAAGATTTTTATTGTCATTTTAGATTCTGGGTTTTTCCAGGTAAATGGACGGAGGAGGGTATGATTGTCCCGTATATAAAAAGGCGACCCGAAATTAGTAAATAATTATCGTTGGCTGTTTGTGTCAAAGCTTTTTACGTATTGTCATATTTTGTAATTGAGTCGATAATATTTTTTTGATAAATATTCATTTATTTCTGATTGCCAATATTTGGTTTTATGGGGAGATGCAATGTTTATTCTTCAATCTGTTATACAACATTATTTACTCGTATGGAAGGTTTATTGATTTGTAGAAATTCAGAATGTATGAAAATGAATAAGGGAAACTATTACGAATCATTAATCATTTGTATGGCAAAAAAAAAATCATGTGAAAGATGTTGTAACTCCTATTCAGTTTTATTCCCAGTATGTTGTAGGCTAACGTAAACTTCGCCATAAATCTAGTAAATTATTTCCAAAAATAATTAAACGAATTTTTATTGATAATTACATTGAATATTCAAATATGGCATTCATCTGTAGAAAATATTTCTGTTCTAAGCTTTTATATTACCTACGGATCTTAGATTTTACATCACGAGAATTTTGGCAAAATATAATTCTAGGAAGTTAAACATATGGTTTAAGTTGTAATACTATGAATATATAGAAGACGAATACAATTTTGCTTTGATTGCCATGCTACTTTAACATAAGGAAATATGTTAAACTAGACCATTTCTTCTAACAACAAAATTATACTTATAAATCTAGCTACATTCAAATGATTTCTTATATCAAATATGTTTATAATGTACCAAACTGTCTTATAGGAGACGGTATTTTTTCTTATTCCATTGTTGTTCACACATCATTTCTAAATGAAACTCAACGCTATATATCAAAATCTAAATTATTTGATGAATATAAACGTAACATCTTTATAGTTTAATATGTTCAAATCCAAAATGAAATAATTTTCTGTCATATGTACAATGTCCGTGGTACAGTGTTTGTGTGTGTGTGTGCGCGTGTGTGTGCGCGCGCGCGTGTGTGTGTGCGTGCATATGTGTGTGTGTTGGTGTGCGCGCGTGTGCGTGCTTATGAATATGCTTGCGTGCGTGCGTGCGTGTGGATTTCTTAAACAAATCTTTTAAATATCAATTTAGATAAAATGTGGTTGTCCCTAGCCCTTGGCTTACACCTATTTTTAGTTTCTTTTTATACATATGTGAATTGTGTTCGTGTAAAAAGACAGATTTACATATATTTGCAAATAATGCTTTGTCTACTGTGATTAAATACGAAATATTAATTCTACAACCCGAATAAAAACAATTGTGTTCAATACTCTGGCAAAGGTATTTTCAATTAATTGCATCTTGTTCCATTTTTTTTCTTTTTTTTTAATACATCAAAGATAGTTCATTCAAGCTATCAGTATGATTTTTTAATAGTGTAAATGTAGCTATGTGTTATGGCATCTCAAACGATATGATAAAATCCAATAGTTTCACAATGTTTAAACTCCATATCCATTATTATCCATAATCTTAACAGATACAAACCTTTATATTATATTTTTATACGAATGATTTGTGAGTTTCTTTGTTTTACTATTTTTCATTGTTTTAAGATAATACTTCTTTTACTCACATCTATTTGAAGCACTCATTTTGAGTATCTTTATGAAACTGTAAATAAGTCACCATCTTTCTCATTGTATTCAAGATATTTTTGCTTTTGGCTTTAATATATTTGTCTTTGTACCATATATTTTGTTTGGATAGGCCTTTTTCTCTTTCATTTCCGACCTTTTGTTATCAGCATCATTCGTAAAGATCTTACATTTTATTTTGTTTACATCATGTATGGTTTCATTTGCAATCTGATAACCATTACGAACAATACACAAATTATTTATAAGAAATTCAAATATAAATTTGGGAAAAAAGTCTTGCATAAAATATAACTGGTTTTGTCATTCGAATGCCAAGTGAACATAATTTCATTTGTGATTTATTTCTATTTTCCAAATACGCATTATCAAATAATTTGTAAATGAAACTGTTCTTTTCGTTCTCTCCTATAGTCTAAATCTGAAACAGCATTAATGTCGCCTCGTTAAACGTTTTTTCTCATTTTCCGAAACAAATTGTTAAACCGTTCAATGATACAGATATTATGAAATGTTTGTCCTTTAAATCATTAAATATGGAATTTAAAGGTAAAGGGCCGATGAGTTGTTGAGATATTAATCAGAAAGAGTAACCTATAACCTATAAGGTCAATGTGATCTCGATCTCTGACCCATTCACCCCAAAAATCTATTGAGGTCATCTTCTGACCAAAAGAAATGCATATGTGAAGTTTGAAGGTCAAAGGTCCATGGGTTGTCCAATTATTGATAGGAAACTATTGTGACATACAAGACCAATGCACCTACGAAGTTTGAGGCCCAAAGGCCAATGGCTTGTCAAGTTATTGATCAAAAAACTATTTTACCTACAATGTCAGTATGAGCTTGACCTTTGACCCCTTGACCCCAAAATCAATAGGGGCATTTACTTGCCAAGACTAATGTATCTACAAAGTTTGAGGACCGACTGTCGATGGCTTGTCAAGTTATTGATCGGAAACAGATTTTACCTACAAAGTCAATATGACCTCAAAATCAAAGGGCTCATCTACAGCCAAAAGCAATGCATCTGTGAAGTTTGAAGATCAAGGGTCCTTGTTTTTCCCAATTATTGATCGGAAACTGTTTTGACATACAAGGTCAATGTAACCTTGAGTTTTAACCTTTTTGTCTCCAAAATCAAAAGGAGTCATCTATTTGCCAGGACCAATGCACCTACGAAGTTTGAGGGACAAAGGCCAATGGGTTGTCAAGTTATTGATCGAAAACCGTTGTTATCTGCAAAGTCAATGTGACCTTGACCTTCGATCCATTAACCCCAACATTTATAGGGGTAACTTACTGGTCATATCTAATCACCATACTAAGTTTTAAGTTCATAGGCCTAAGCATTTTTTAGCCATTAATCGGAAATCGTTTTTACCAACAAGGCTCATGTGACCTTGACCTTTGATCCCTTGACCCCAAAATCAATAGGAATCATCTACTGGTCATGAACAATCATTATTTCAAGTTCCTAGGCATAAGCATTCTTTAGTTATTGATCGGAAACCGTTTTTACCTACAAGGTCAATGTGACATTGACCTTTGACCCTTGACCCTGAAATGAACAGGGGCTATCTACTGTTCATGAACAATCATCATACTATGTTTGAAGTTCCTAGAATTAAGCGTTCTTTAGTTATTGATTGAAAACCATATGGTCTACAGACGGACGGACGGACCGACCGACAAACAGATGCAAAGCAATATACCCCCATTTCTTTGAAAGGGGGGATAATAAAATGAAGTTTCGTTTTAAATACCGTACGGTTTTCCTTACTTTCTTTTCTCTTCTAATTCCAATTTCCGCATTTTTTCTTCATGCTTCAATTTCTCTTCCAATGTTTTTAGTTCAGACATCGCCCTAAATTTGAAATTTGTTTTATTCATTATACAGTTTTAAAAGTACATTAATTAAATCTGGAAACAAAGTGATCCCTCGGAAGCATTAATCACAACAAAATTACAAGAGAACTGCAGACGCGGTTTGATTGAGTCTGTACATGATGGATAATGTAAAGTGCAACATCCCTCACGCCCCTAGCACCGGCTTAAGCGGTTCTAAATTCTCAACACTTAATAGTGCTGGCATCAATGATCTCGATGAACCAGAAAAATATAACAGCATTGAAGTGAAGTACGGGGCAACCTTTTACAGCTGCCACACAGCACTTGACACCTGCTGTTGTAAAGTATAAAAATCTGGCAACAAAGTGATCCCTCGGAAGCATTAATCTTAACAAAATTACAAGAGAACTGCAGACTCGGTTTGATTGAGTCTGTACATGAGGGATAGCATACATAATTATATATAAAATAAATTAATCATCAAACAGATATAAACCCACCAACTTAGCCAACTAAGCATCAATGATCGTTATATATATTGGAATGTAAAACAATCATTTAGACAAGACAAATGGTAAGAAACTGTGAAGGAAACTCCACAAAACATCAAATTTGAATTTCTTACATAACTCAGCTGCGACATTTAAAAACAGAAATACTTTTAAATGTTATTAAAAAATTTACTCCGAAATAAAATTAAAATATATTAGCAAAATCATTGTGGAAAAACGGAGCGCCCAAACAATAGATAAATACAGAATCCCTAAAGAAAGCCCAACACGGCCAAATTGAAAATGTTGCAGGCTCGGTTTGATTGAGCCTGTTCATGGACGGTACTGGAAAGTGCAAGTTACCGTCCACGCCCCCTAGCACCGGCTTAAGCAGAATTCAACATTTAAACATGAAATAATAAAATTTTGAATTTAGAAACATCCGCAGATGTGTTCATACGGCGGTTATCATGGAACCTTCAATGTGGCACTTCCGTGCCATTCCATGAAAAGCGGCGTATGGTCCCCAAGTAATAAAAAGCGTGTGCCCTAAACGAGAAAACAATGGGCGGAACTAAATAAGCTGAATTTTTTCACACATGATATTGGTCTCAACTTTCATCAAACGGAGCATTGATCTTTTTAATCTAATTGACTTATTATTGTCATTTGAATGAATGCCAAGTGAACATAATTTTATTTGTGATTTATTTCTATTCACGCATTCTCAATTAATTTGTAAATGAAACTCTTGATTCATTGTTTTTTCATTCTGTCTTATTGTCTAACTCTGAAACAGCATTAATGTCGCCTGATTAAACGTTCCTCCTCATATTTCGAAACAAATTGTTAATGGTACAGATATTATGAAACTTTTGTCCTTTAAATCATTAAAGTCATTAAATATTAAATATATGTTATTGTTTAGTAAAATTCTATTGCAAATAAAGCGTAAAAAGATATATATCTGTTGCAAATATTGTTGTCTGAATTGAAAAAGCGACTATTGCGAAACATTGCTAAACGGTCAAAATCCTACTTAATATAGATGCATAATATTTTATTCCGATTCATATCATTCTGTTTCCATACAACATATGCATTCTATGTTCCAACTCTATCTTGCATCGATCATAAGATTATGTCGGAAATAAAATAGTTTTACTGTCTTTAGATTTATAAAAGAACTTTCATAATCTTTTAATCTCCCAAGAAAAAAGTATTTCTAGATAGAATATTTTTGTAATATTTTTTTTTTGAATTTCTGTTCTGAATTATTATTGATATAAATGAAATTATATATAATAAAATGAAGTTTCGTTTCGAAATACTGTACGGTTTTTCTTACTTTCTTTTCTCTTCTAATTCCAATTTCCGCATTTTTTCTTCATGCTTCAATGTCACTTGCAATGTTTCAAGTTTAGTCTTCGCTCTAAAATTGGAAAATTAATTCATCATATAATTTCAAAAGTCCCTGGTGGCTTATCTAAAGTATATATATAATTATGTAAAATAAACAAATCATCAAACACAATTGAGCATAAATGCAATATCAGTGTTTGGACACCCCACCCCTATCTGCCCCTGGACCCCTACTACAATCCTGAAAAAATAATTCAACACTCTAAGGCTTACCATAATGTACAAATTACAAAACTACCGATGAAATTGTATAAAAAAAATTCCACTAATTTCAAAATTATAGTTAAAGCAATGTGAAAAGCCTACCATATGTTCATTTGCCAAACAATGTGGAACACGGGAAATCGTCGTTTCGGCGACTGAGGCGCATTCCGGCGAGATTTCGCTGCATCATTCATTAACATCAATGAAAAGAACTAGAATTCCGCATCTTACCTATTTCATGTCCAATATCATTCCGATTTTTTTTCTGTTTCACAGTATTTTTTGACTTGTCGCTGCCATTTTGGATTCTGATACCTGTGTGTTATACGCGATCTGATTGGACGTCCATTTTGGCTCGTCCAATAAGATCGCATACTTCAACCCAGGTAAAAGGCAGGCAGCATATCCTAAGGGTGATTATACAATACTGAAGTAGGAATACTGGAACAACCCAAATTGAAAAAGGCCAAATATAAGAAACTAAAATACCATCTAAAATGTATACACAACAATAATGTCGTGTTGAACGATCTTCAAAGATCGAAAATATAACATCATTGATTAAATGTACGGGGAGACTTTTAAAGCCGCCACACGGCACAAATTACATGGATGTGACCATGAAATAGAGAAAAACAGAATCACTATAGAGAGCCCAAGTTCCGTTATCTACATTGTATGCAATTTATTCGGAATTTTCTACAATAACGTGGTATTTCAGTTCGTGTGGTTGAATCATGGCCGACTTATTGGACAAAACTACCATTTAAAAGTCTTCACCATATAAATATTTATGTAAAAATTCCAACGTTTATTTTTGCAGTATAAAACAAATTTAATAGTTTAACATTATGAATTATTAAACTTGTCCGATAGATTATCAACGTTTCGAAAATTCTTAATGTGGATCCATTTTGCTGGTATGCTTTTGAAATGGTTAAATTTCTTAAATTTATTATACACGAGATAAAACGTATTATATTATACATTCACTAAAACTATCAATTCAATAAATAGCGGAAACATTTTATACTGAAACATCGATGAAAATAACATTAATAATACATTGTACATTTAACTATGGGAAATGACAAATACATTTTTGTGGCTTGGCAAATGTTAAGAAAGGATATTTTGATTAACATTTGAAATTTGTCACATATGAAAACTAATATAAATTAATATGAACGAAAATATAAATTATGAAAATATATCCATACATAGGCATTTTGTAAACATATACATGCATCTACCTTTGTTAAATAAAATACAGACTAAACATCGGACAGTTGTATGATAAAAATCAACTGTTATATTATGTTTTCACCTTTACACATGTGTTCAAAAATTACTTTCTAGGAATATATGAGTCAATCAAGAAAAATAAAATCCTTTGTTTGTTTCCCTTCTTCATAATTGGTCAAAATAAATATCTAATACTCGTAAAGTTAATGTTGTGGCAGTCTATGTCATGATGTGTTGTACGTACAGAAAATTGTTATTTTTCACGTAAGTCAAACGCAGCGACGGGAAAATGCAGGAAATTTCGCCTATTGCTATTTTGATAGTTTGAGTTATTCATTTAATTATATGTTTTTTTATTAAATAATATGATAAAGCTTCAAGCCAAATATCTTAGTTTTAGTCATGACATTTTAGAGAAGGTAGATAATGAAAATCAATGACACCCGGCATGGCCATTTTTTTAATCCCAAAACAATAATTTGAACAAACTTGATACAGGTCCTCAACATAACGTTTTAAGCCAAATATCTTAATATCTAAACTCAAACATTTGTTATTGCAGAAGAAAATATTTTTTAAGTTTAACTATATATATATATATATCAGAACTTACAAGTTTTAGTATAACGAATACAAATGCATATGCTGTTTACATATATCGTTAACAGAAACGTATTTTTCGTCAATTGGAGATTTTTTATTTTAAATTTCTAACCTAGCAATGTTCTAATTAAACAGTATAATACCTGTCAGCAGCCACCTTCATTTTCAATACTTACTCGTCCTTTTCACGTCTTCGATTTTCCTCAGTTTGCTTCAGCTCAAGTCTAATCCTTTCCAATTGCATGTCTTTCTGTTTCATCTCTTTCTCCAAGTCTTTTATCTTTGCTTCATTTTGGTCATCTTGTGTCTTTATCTCCAAGTACGCCTCATCTATTCTCTGTTGATTTTGTATTCTTAAAGTAAATATAAACAGAACACTAGTATTTGAATATCGGCCCGAAAATTTGTCATCTATGCTAATAGATTTAAACTTTGATGTAAGATACATCATAGAAATAAACAGGTCACGTTTGAATTTGATTTTGGACAAAGTCATCCCACTCGAACTTGGATTTCTTTTTACAATTTTTAGTTTCAGAACTCTTATTTTTGTGGAAATGTATGTATATGGTTGAAATCGCATGTTTCGGTTTTAACAAGAAAATACAAATCAAATTTGAATCTGGTGTTGGTCCATTGATATTTGACAGAATTATCCTTCTTGAACTTAGAAAAAAAAGAAAATTTCAGTTTCATTTGAAATGTATGTCCGAGGTTGCTATTGCATGTGCTGGTATTTTACAAGAAAATACAAGTCAATTTCTAATTTGGTCATGGACAGATGTTGTTGACAGTTATACCCCTTATTATTTCGGCTACGAATATGCAATATGCAATTTCAAAATGGTAAAGTTAACACTGAATAGTTTCAGGGCCTTGAAGTTTGTATAAAATGGTTTATGTTAACATTGAATCGTTAAAGAGCCTTGAAATTCGAATGAAAAAATGTCTTTTTTTCTTGCAATTTGGAACTAAATATTATTATAACATTTACAAGTTTGGCTGCTGCAAATCCGCGAAAACAGTACTGCACGCCCATGCATTAAATTCGACTAATGTAATTTGCGCTATATAAACAAATCGAAGAACTGAATAATTTTGACTATAAACAATTATTATTCGGACAATGACTTGATTGTTGGAAATTTCATTGTAAATTTAAAACTAAAATATGGGAATCTCATGTGGCTATTGTAAGATAAGTAAAACAATTAAATGAATCTTTCGGAAATGGTGTGTAGTTCCGATAACGACCTTTCCAATCATATTGCTCAGATTTGTTTAATGAATCTTTCTAAAGTGGTAAATGCATCTTATTTTTAATGTCAGGGGCCCTAAAATGAGCAATTTTGTAGTTCAGTGTGGCCATAAAAACACAATTCCAAATATTTCAAATTCTGTTACACAGGCAGATAACCATTTGCATAGCATTATCCAAGTATTGAACAAAGTAAGTGTTTGCATGCACTGCTCCAAAAATAAATGAACGTGCAGGATACTTCAGAATTCGCCCGATTCGTTTCAAAATATCACTAACACACAGTGCAATCAATGGCAATTTCAAAAATGACCAATGAACTGTCTGTCATACTTTGAGATTTTTCCCAAAATTTATCCAAAGTTATTAACTTGTTTGGCACCAACTGTCAAAGCTTGATTTTGAACTTTTTACCTGCATTTAGAGAGTCGGAAGTACATACAAAGCTACCAAAATGTTTAGTTTCAGGTACAAACTCCAAAATAATGTTCATTTTCTACACACAAACAAGAAGGACTTACAATGACAGAAAAATATAATAAGTTCTCACTACCTACAGAACACCATTTCTGTGTTAGAAATAAATTTAACGGGACCATTATTCGAATATGTCCCATGCCCAAAAGGAGTTCCGGTGTCGTGTAATTATCACACGCGTGGTAAAATTACCACGCTTGTGATTATAAGGCGGCGGAATAATTGAGGTGTCACTTCACTTAATATAATCATATGTTTACAAGCGCTTAAAGGTAAGGTTAGAACATCACTGATGCAATCATATACATGTAGATCTTTAACGAGATATTAATATGTGTTTTAGAAGAATAGTAGAACCAACTGCGGATGATCACGTGAGCAAAATCGTAAAATGAGCTCATGATATGACGGCCTAAACGCTCGGTAAAAACAGTAAAATTAAAGTAAGCATACAGTTAACGTTAAATGTATATGTTAAACTAGGGCGCACGGACCCCTTCTATAAAACCACGTACTGTTCTGTTATTGGTTATTTTGTAGCTCTCTCTGTTAAGGCCTGAAAGTCGAAAACGTTGTATTGTGTGATGAGTGCAATGGGAGAGCAGGTACTAGAAATACTTTGTTTTCAGTAAAAGAAAAGCATTTTGGGCAGAATAGGCTATGACATTTTGTGCACATTTTTCCATCTTTTGTAAAGTTGCATAACATAACGAAGTTGTGCATCTTTAAAAAAAACAAGTACAATTGTCGAACCAAATTTAATGAGTACAATGGTCGAACGATTGCATTGCCTGTCCTATTTTGTCAAAGTTTTCATTTAATTATGCTTGTTTCTCGCATCCTGTCCTTTAAATCATACAAACACAAGTTAAATTTTGATGCTGCACATCAAAGACGTCGCCAAATGATGTGAACAGTCAATCAGCATTGAAAATCGTTCTCTACTACAGTTGAATATGCATAACACAAATCATTTTTTTTCATGTTCTTGGTATGTGCTCGTTGTTTAATAATTAAGTAGCATATTTTTGTGAAAAAGTAGAACCTAATGCAAAAATTCACAAAGAAATGCCATGTCTGAAATTCTGTTGTGTTTGTCTGTTGCGACAAAGATTGAAACGTCTGGACGAAGCAAAATAAATTGGATAACAAGTAAAATTGAAATGTTTGGTATACTTAAAATAAATCCAAGACAATATGTGCCAAGAATATATCCATTTGAATATTGGTTCGAATTGCATAATGTTCGAAGGATTTTGAGAACGAACTGTTCTGCAGTGATATCCCCTTACTGGTCGTCACATAACCGGTGCGCAGAGTTAGGCGAACTTCCTTAACTGTTGAGGGAGAACCGCCTCTCTTATAGTGGCGTGGTTTAGGCTTTGTAATCAAAGTTGTTCTGGTTCCCTTCCGCCCCGTCAACGAAGACCAAATGCTAGCATACGATGCATAATATTAAATTTGGCGACAATTTAAGGCGGAGCCGAACTTCAACAAAGGCGGAGCAAATGAAGTAAGTGACATTGCCTCAGTCGTTACCTCTCTAAACGGTTAAGTTTTAGAACGATCGACTTTTACGGTTTTTCGTTTGGACAATCGTAACTTTATATTTAGTGTGTACCCGCGATGCAAGATGGTACGATGGTGAAAACGCGATGGCACGATGGTAAAAACACGATAGTGTGATGATGAAAACGGGATGGTACGATGGTAAAATTGCGATAGCACGATGGTGAAAACGCGATGATACGATGGTGAAAGCGCGATGACACGATGGTGAAAACGCGATGGTACGATGGTGAAAATGCGATAGCACGATGGTGAAAGTGCGATGGTACGATGGTGAAAACTCGATGGTACGATGGTGAAAATGCGATATAACACCATCGTATTCACAATCGCGACATCGCGATTTCACCATCGTACCATCGTGTTTTCATCATCGTGTCATCATATCATCGCGTTTTCACCATCGTACTATCGTGCATCGCGGGCAAGGACAAAATACGAAAACATTGAACCTAGAATTTTCATGAAAAAATGTCTGTTTTTCAATAACTTATTTATTTCTTAATGTATCTATTTTAAATTTTACATATATATTTCTTTTTATCACTCAAATCATGTGTGAGAAGGTTCAACACTCTAGCAAGACTATTTCCAGAATTATGTCCCCCTTGAACTTTAAATTGTTTATGTTTTACTCCAACTTCTTTATTCCTCTCAGGATTTACTTCAACATCATAATAATATGACAAGTTTTATAAATCAAGAATCCATATTTCCAGAATTATCTCCTCCATAAACTTTGAAATTTTCTTTCATTCTTTAATTGTCTTATTTCTTATATATATATTTTTAATTTTTCATCTTTTCTTCTTTGTGACTATAAATGGTATCTTTAAACTTAAAATAATTGTTCTTTGTTACCCTCATATCATGTATGACAATTTTCATAAGTCTAGCATCTTTATTCCAAAAGTTATCTCGTCATTAAGAATTTTGCTTTTAAAAATATTATATTTTGTTTGGTAACAGGGATGTTTAAAAAACACTTCAGAGTGTCCTTCAGTGCGTCTGTCTCTCTATTCATAAAAACTGCTTTTTGAGATCAGTTTTAAAGAACTTTTCTAACAAGTTTTCTTAGAATAGAGAAAAGCTGAAACATTAGTTATAATTATTCATCCTGAAAATACTGGACCTTTGATTATCTGTTGTTTAAGGCAGGGAAACTTAACACATATCTATGATACAGACAAACTAAGAACTCAAAAGATTTAAGTTCAATCATGTCATTCATTCATTCAATGGCATAATTGAATGGCAAATGGCCCTTCAGAATGTTGCTTGGGTTCTAACCGGTAGGGGACTTATGAATTGCTTGCAATTCTATGATAATTGCTTGTTTACATAGTTGTTAGTATTTCTTCAAACATGACCTCCATCTATATTTCAACGTACGCTAGAGTATCTTTCTGGACTATGCATTCCCTTTTGGTGACTTTTAAGTCTGTCTTTCCTTGCAAATTCTTTAAAACATTCGTCGCATGTGATCACTTACCCTTTATGTCCCGGGCTCTTTCAATGCATTTTTGTGTTAAAGTAAGATATGCAATCATCATTTATTAATTCTGAAAAAGTTGATCCTTCTATAGCAACGAGAACTTTGTAAGCACAAAGAACAGTACCCTCGACTATTCGATGTGTTATAAAAAACATAGAACATTCGATAATAAGAAAAAATGATTTGCACATGTTTTCTACTTTAATTTAAGATTGCCATGTACTGTTCTTTCTGTTTACAAAGTTCTCGTTGCTATACAAGGATCAACGTTTTTAGAATTCATAAATGATTATTGCATTATTTATAACACATCGAATAGTCGAGGGTACTGTTCTTCTTCAATAATGTCTTTGCTTATTTACTGATTGTGATAAATGAAGGTACATAATATTGTCAAAGTAATGACCAAAATTGACTTCCATTCTTTTATGTAAAACACAGAAAATTGCTGACTTTGTTCGATACCATTGTCTTTTCATGAGCAGGAATGAAATCTCACTCTTTATGGATTATTCGTAGATGATTCCTGTAAAGTACCTCCGAATTTTGCATATTTTGCATATATAATGTCAATATCTATATAATTAGACATATTTAAGATTGAATGTTGTAAATTCTTTCTGATTACTCTTTGCACATTTACTCGAAATTTATAACCAATACTCTCGTTACACTAAAAACCAATACTTGTGACATTGGCCAGCAACTCCAAAGCAACACTCAGTAAACTGACATTGTATTGTCATTTGAAATTCTTTTGTTAATACAACATTTACAACATAATATTTATCATCGTAACGACTGTGTCACATTTCAATAGATTCGATTCAAGTTTTTCGTTTATTACGTGAGCAAAGTAAAAAAAAAGAGTGAGCAAAGTAACGAATTCTACCTCCTAATTACATTTCAAATCTTTTTCTTAACATTTGTGGGTTTTCAACGACTAGAGAAATGATCTTCAATAAAATTTATATCAAACAAATTTAAATTGACTAACCCTGTACTTACCTTTTCCCCGTTCAAAGTCGCGAAATGGGACAAAAGTTCTCATAATGTAGAGCAATATCTGGGGTACGGTGTACCGCTGTGGTGGTAACGCTATTAAATATAGATATGTAAGATATGTTGCACATAATATTTAAGAGAAATACTAAACTTAAGCTTACTTTTGCAATTCAATTTCATTGCATTGTTCCACCTCTGCCTCTGTCTTATGTTTGTGTTGTTTGTTACAGTAATGGTAGCCTGTTAGCCAATCGAACATTTTGTCTGTCGGCGAAAAGAAGTAGATGTACCTGGCGGATAAAAATATTGTAATTAGATTCTGATGGGTTATCTTTATATTTGATCAAAAGGCAAGGCATAGTTCACCGAAGGCAGTATCCAACAACATGCAGACACACCAGCAGGGCACCCAGAAGGCAGCGAACTTAAATGGAGAGAGCACACAAGGGCCTAGGGACATGTATTAAGTAAAATTATAAGAAATTAAAGGGGCCGATATGGAATTATAGGAACAGAGGTTGTAAGGTAAATAGGGAGAGAGTTGGAGCAGGGCATTAAATACGTACTGGCATTTTAGGTATGTCTTGTATGTATGTTAAGATCACTATCTGCTGTAATTAAAGTCGCAAGTTTTTTTTAGTTTAATGCATTTGGTAGACTCTAACACGCAAGATACAATACTCAAGTGCGACGCAGCCAGGCCGTTATTGTGAATCCGATGAAGAGGTTAACATGTAGTATCAAATACTTATTAGACATAAAATACACAAAACTATATAATTCTTTCTCTTTTCTGTGCTTATGCAGTTATCTCATAATGGACTTATGGTGGCTGATTTGTGCATTTCGTGTTTTCAAAAAGTCGAGGATTAACAAGTTAAAATAGTGGGGATGCGGAGCAAAAACATGCTAATCAGCGGGGGCGCGGGACAAGTTAACGCAAATAAAATCCCCCCAACAGAACGGCTAGGTGCGGAGCCAAACACGCTTATAAGTGGGGGCGCTTCGCTCTAATATGCGTGTTTTTGCCCCGCGAACCGCCAAGCGAAAAAACGAGAATTAACAAGTTGAAATGGCGTGGGTACAGAGGGAAAATACGCTGATTAGCGATATGTCATATATTACGTCTTTGGTTGGATATTTTAACTGTATCAATTTACCTTGCGGCTAAAATATCCCAGGTCTCCCCTACTAATAATGACAATTTAACAAGATAGGATAATCAAAACATGTACGAGTAACAATACACAAGACATACATGAGAAAAATATAAAGGAACACATGGTCTCGTCTTGGAACAGTCAAGAGAATTAACACAACGGAGAGAGTTTAAACCTGTTTTAGGCGCGCAAACATCCATTCTTAGCCCTAGTTAGTTCCTATATGACGAGACACTGAAAATAAAATTAATCGCTGCCAAGTAAAATTCAAACAATTGACATGGTTACATGAAACGAAACAAATAAAACACATAAATGGTCATGTAAAAGTAGCCTTATGACGGTAACATATAACAAGTATGGAAGAAAGCGGAGAAATAAGACAATCTTCTACAAGGGAACAAGACAGAAATATGCTTTAATTAGTCAATATTAAACAATTGCATCCGATTAAAACTCGATCATCTAAACCAACCATAGAGCTAATACTTACATATATAGTCAGAGGCTATCAAACGTGACTTGTGACATCAGAATTGTGGAATGCACATAAACTGACACAAATCATATTTTCTAGTGCTCTTTTTTCAAACGAATTGAAACAGTGAAAAGCGCAAAATTTTTAATTTTAAAACATCCTCATTTGTATTCATATGGGGTTTATAATAGAACCTTTTATGTGCCATTCCATATAAAGTGGCGTTTGTCCCTAATTAAACAAATATGTGTGCTCTAAACAAGAAAACAATTGGCGAAACTAAATTAAATGAATTTTTGAAAGAGGATCAAAGGTTATGAAGCCTGCATAGACAGCAGACAAAATTGATTGGTTTGATTGAGTCTTTTCATTGACTTACATTGAAAATGCAAGAAATCGTTTATGGCCGCTGGCTCCGCCACAAGCAGAATTCAACATAAAAACACGAATATTGTGACAATAGAAACATCTGCGGATGTGCTCATACGGCGGCTTTTATTGTACCTTCCATGTGACACTTTTGTTCTATTCAAATTCCCATTAAAATCAGGCTTGCTAATGCTAAGTGGCAGTAGAGTTTCTAAAGCCATTGAATTTTGATATTGCTTTTTTGTTTCTCGGAATAATGTTTATAAAACTTTATAAAATATGTCCGTAATGTATGACAGCCCTATTTGAAAAGCTTGATAACAATGCATATAATTGTTCTTGTAATCGTTTTATAAAACCGTACCGAATCTAATATATACACCGTTAGATATTGCATGGGCCATGTATCAATCTAAATAAGGTTAATTTACCATACCAAAATCAAAGTCATCTCTTTCTTAAATAAGTTATCATAGATTTTGGTATGAATAGTATTGTTATTGACTGTAATTTATTTAAGATAAAAAAATTATGTACTTAAATTTTTAATTATTTGTTTTATTCTGATGAAGTTCTTAAGGAAAGATATTAGATACCATTTGATAAAAGATAATAGTATCGGGGTATCGGGAAATGTTTTAATACTACAAAAAGTTAAATCTTGTATCTGAAGGCTCAGCATGAGGTCTCTGGAATAGAAATACAAAAAAAATCGGCGACAAGGATGGCACAATTAATAACCACAGGAGTTCCTATAATCTGTTTGAATAGGGCATTTATAAACCGGAACATGAATGTTATCTAAAAGGAGCAAAAAACTCTGTTGACTAAGGGAAATGGAAAATAAGTTTATGTTTAATTTACGATAGACCGGTTGGGACATTTCAACTTCACGATTTCAACTTCATAAATTCACGATTTCAACTCCATGAATTCGCGATCTCAACTTAACGAATTCACGATTTGAAAACGGGAATTCACGAAGTTAAAATTGTGAATTCATGAAGAAGAAATCGAGAATTCATGAAGTTGAAATGGCCCTACCGGTCTTTCGTATTAATTAGTCTGTGCGGTAGTGTTGGATACATTGTAGAAAAATCGTATTTGCTATTATTATATGCTAAGACTTTTGGGATATTGGTTCCAAAATCAGGGAATTTTACTCAAATGTGAAATCTAGCATATTAAAATACCTGTATCTTTGCGCTATAATGAAAGGATTTCTACTTAGTTCTAATTCCGCGACAAAAGAAGATACTTCTAAAGTAAAGGGGCTTTGTTTGAAAAAAGCTTTATTTCACAAATGCATCTTAGCATTTTCATTTGGTTACAAATAGTAATGTAAACAATATTTCACATTTGTTGCATTAGATTTGAAAATCTTTTCGAAGAAGTTGAAGAAAGTGGCACAAAGCTCGACAAAGGCTCAATTTAAGACGATATATAATAACATTTGATATAAGATAACGTTTGTGCGATCCCATGCATGACTAAATGCATTGAAATCAATGATAAATCAATTTGTTTTGATCTTTAATCTGCGCCTTTGTGCACCGATGTTATATTTCCCGAGTTAAATATTAATTAATGGAAGTATTAAAAATGATAAAAAATGTGTTTGACCATATGAATTTCACATGATTTGAATATGGACGAAACCGGCTTATTATGTTATTTGAGAAGGCTACTATCAAGAAATCTAAGTAATTTTCTACAATTGTTCAAGCTTGCGCAGCGAAATAAAAATGACAAAAGAGAATCGTGATTGAAACAAATTGATGAAATTATAAGGGGTGGCATCTTATTGTTGTGGCTTTCTGTCCGCGAAATGGAGTTTTTTCTTCTCTTTAGTTCACAAAGAAACAAATTTGAGGAATATGTAACTCAAATAGTAGGATGGTGACCTTTAACTGTTTCCGTCAATATTCATGATTCTCATACAATATGCTAATTTGAAAATTCTTTTTGCTGTTTTAAATTTTCCTGCTTATGAATACTAAACTTAACTCATTGTTATTGTACGAGTCCACAAAAGTCATGACATATCACTTTTGTTCTCTATCTAATTACCATTGTATTTCACTTAGCCTTGTTTTCATTCGGATTTAAAAAGTCCATAAATGAGCAAATCTGTTAAAACGACAAGAAGGAAATAGTTTGACAATAAAATCAACTGAATTTTTCTATTTTATATTTTTACCACTGCGCATTGAACAACTATTTTTATTGATATTCTTTATAACACATTTCGGTTATATATATTACCCTTCTTTAAATTTTAGTACATTTTTTGCAATATTGATTTTCTTTAAATGTTGTGGCACATCTTGACGAGTGCAGCTTTAAAATAGTTTAATTTCTGGCGACATGATCATCTAAAACTATATATTATCTTTTATGTATATTCAATATAATATTAAAAGTTACGAATTGACTGTAGACGGTATAAATAAACATCTTTCCATCGAAATCCCCTAAACTCTTTCTAAAAAGTTCAGTAACAGAGAGCAATTAAAGAGTTATAATTAGCGTCGGTAACGAACAGTTGGTTTTCTTCTGATGAGAGTTAAATACGTCTAATAGTAACACTATTGGTTTCCTAAAAAAAGTACTATATTATTTTAAATTGATCATGTTATTGAAAATGAGTAATTTGTGTGTTAAGATTTTATTACATTTTCTACTGAACAATAAATTTTAAAGAAGAATACACTGAGTTTATTTTACACAAGAACTTATTGAGATATAAACAATTTTGTACAAAATAACAAGACAATATCGACAAAATTATCGCAAAATCCTAACTAATCAGGTATCCTTCCTCTATTCAATAAGTGTCCAATATAAACACTGATGCGTTGAACCTATATTGTTTATAACTTTTTTATAATAATCAAGAATTAGTATTAATTATTGTAACTCAATATCAGATAAGGCAGTCAACTGTATAATAAATTAAACAAAATACAGACAACTTAAAGAGACAACTTAGGAGAGAACTACTGCCAAAATTGAAAGAAGCTAGGCAGAAAGGTAATAAAGCATGGTTGTCATATGATACTTTGTACATTGATGGAAAGGCTCAGAAATAGGAACGCGGAGAGGATGAATTGAGTATTTGTGCATGGAATGTAAACGGTTTAACGGAAATAAAAAGGAGTAACCAGGATTTTATTGATTCGATTATTGAACATAACATTATATTTTTATGTGAAACTTGGTGCAATAAAAACAGCAACATCGATATATCAGGCTTTATTTCGCATAACTATCACAGA